ACAACATTTGTTTGAAACATTTAAATTTTATTTTTTTCTTGCAGTGCTTATAAACAGGGTTTTAATATTAAGAACAGTACACAACCTGTCTGTGCATGCTAATGTGTGAATGCCAGTATATGTATACAACAAGGGCACAAAAGTAGTAAAAAACTGCCAAGAAACTGTCATACAAAGCTGAGACAAGCTTGGAAAAAAATCACACATACATGTCCATTACAGTCCTTTTTTTTCTTGAACATTTAAAAGGAGAAAGGCATCCTGCAGTGCACCATCGTAGTTTTCGTATTAGGAGGCCAGCTTGCACGCCCTTCTTGTGTGTATGAAGTGTCTCACCATGAGCCTTTAAAATCTGAAAATAACAGTAAAAATGACTAACAGTTGGTTATTCTATATACAATACACACTTCATCATACACAAATTAAACACATTCAATGTTTTGAATAACAAAACAAAAGTGATTGTTTAAAGCAGGGGTGTCTAATCCTGCTCTGCGGGTCACTGTCATGCAGAGTTTAGCTACATCCTTAATTAAATACATCTGAATCAATTAACTAAGGTATTACTAGGCATACCAGAAACTTCCAGGTAAGTTGTAGCTAAATTCTGCAGAAGAGTGGACATCCAGGACCGAGTTTAGACACCTCTGGTTTAAAGTTTCCCTATGCGGCTTTTGTGAGTAATAGGAAAGTAACAATGTACTCAAAGTCGGTTGAAAATCGAAGTAAATATGTGCTGCAAGTTGATTGAGACGTTAAACAAATCAACATATGCGTTTTAAACACCAAGGGCTGCTGAAACCGTATACTGTGACCGTGCTTTGCAAGCACTATAGCAGCAAACATTTCACCAAGTTAATAAATAGTAGCAAACATGATGGAGGCAGTGGCAGGGTAGATTTTTGATGATGTGAGAGAAGTTTGGCTTTCTGACGACAATAAATGCAAGCGATGAGGTGGCAACAGACAAAACAAAAACTGTGTAAATACACGTACAATGTTATAAAGGGTTTGGTTCAACCAAAAATGAAAATTCTGTCATCAATTACTCACCCTCATATAATTTCAAACCCATAAGACCTTTGTTCATCTTCAGAACACAAATGAGGATATTTTTGATGAAATTTGAGAGCTTTCTGACCCTCCATTGGCAGCAATGCAACTAAAACATTCAAGGTCCAGAACGGTAGAAAGACATCATTAAAGTAATCCATGTGACTCCTGTGGTTTAACCTCAATTTTATGAAGCAATGCACGTGCTTTGTTTGTGCAAAAAACACATTTTACCGCTTAATTTTCTAAAAATATTGATCTGCCACACATGCTCATAAGAGCATCATGACGCATGTATGTTGTGTTCACGCTAGAATTAACATCGTAGCATAAACAAGCTTTGAATAATATTTTATTGTAAATAAAGTGGTAAATAATAATTTATTTTTGGACAAACAGCACTCGTGTTGAGGTTAATTGAGGTTAAATCACAGGAGTCACATGGATTACTTATAATGATGTCTTTCCTACCGTTCTGGACCTTGAATGTTTTAGTTGCGTTGCTGCCAATGGAGGGTCAGAAAGCTCTCGGATTTCATCAAAAATATCCTCATTTGTGTTCTGAAGATGAACAAAGGTCTTACAGGTGTGGAACGACATATGAGTGAGTAATTAATGACAGAATTTTCAATTTTGGGTGAACTATCCGTTTAATAGGCCAAACCACACTGACCGGTGGATCTGCAGCTTCAATCGCAGCAAAATCGTTTCCTCGCTCCTACATCTTCCACCTTATGACCCGGACACTGATCGAACTCAGCTGTCTAATGATCTAATGATAGAAATGTAGGGGAAATAATCAGAAGTCGTTGAAATGTTGGCTCATCTTAAGATATGGTTTATATTCTTTATTTGGTACAGAAATGCAAAACTCACCCTTCATCCAAGTCTCACAAGCGTGTGCCTGTAAAAAAAACTAAATTATTCAACTTAAATTTACTTGTAAACAACACACACACAAACAAAGACATTTCCTATACAACAGCCTCATAACCCTTTAATAACCCGAGTTGCCTAAAAAAATATATTAAGATGGATGGTGATCCTCACTGTAATGTGCTCAGTCATAGCCTACAAAGGGAGGTAAACGGGGAATTGTTGGTTACTTGCTAATTACAGTTAAGCCCAAAGATGTACATTACACAACACTTTTACAAACTTTTTGTTCATGATTAAAATATGACCGATTCATACAGCATAATGCATTTGTTTGCATTTACTGTTACCTGTAATATGTTACCAGTAAGCAATTTGCAATCGTAAAACAAAATAATATATAAAAGATATGATGATGGCCAATAAAATAACAAATGGCACAGAAAACGAGCTTGTGAGGAACAGATGTAACGTTAGGCCTACAGTGCGTCCAGCTGAATGTAACGTTTAACGTGTCGGATGTTCCGCTGACAAAAACGTCTTTCTAAAAAAGTAGTCACAAATGAACAAGGTTAACAATCGTTTGAATCGTGGTCTCTTAAATCATATTAAGAAGTTTCATATGTTAATCTAGTTTGAATAGAACAAACTGACAAAACGGGTGACGATTAGTTCATGCGTCGTCAAAAACAGCTCGGGCGTCGTCTACCTCACGTTAACTTATATTATCCTCGCTTGAGCGGTTGATAAAAAAATAATAAAAAACGCTTAACTTTACTCAGTAACGAATAGCAACTCAAACGCACGAAGCCTGACTGGGATACACTTCCAGTGGGCGCGAAGATGCCGAGCCTGCTCAGCAAAGCCAACTAGTACCCAGTTTAACGGTCAAATACACCTATAATGGCACAAATTGCCCATTTTAACAGTGTTTAACAGGTGGAGAAACAAATGTGTGTCAAATCTCAAACGTTACATTACAATCTGCAGTGCTAATTACAAGCAAAGCACAGCGGCCACCGTATCAGAAATGCAAAACTTGAAAGGTAAACACAGTTCGGAAAACAATGACAGAACATAACTAATTCTGCTCTATTCTGCTAAAATGAACAATAATCTCCCAAAAATGATGTTACACAAGCATTCACTCACCTCATCCACATTGAATATGCCTCTTCGCGCCAGCCCAATGGACAGCTTCCTCAAGTTCGTGAGTTGCTCGTCTGAAATTCCTCCGCGGTTTAGTTAGTTCACTGTATAGTCTGCCCGTGTCTCCTTGTTTGATGTTGCACTGCGATGTGTCATGTTTCAAACATGAGTCTAATGTCTAGATTTGCTGAATATATTGTTTTCTTGGAAAGGACTCTGATATTAAATTCATGTACAGATTTGACTCCTGCGCATTAATCCATGTTCAGAGATTTGGCCGGTTAGTGCCAATAAGCTACAACTTAAAATGTTAAGTTCACTGAACTAAATTGGGCTCTTTGAATTTCAGTAACATTAAACTGACTTAAAAAATCAAGTTGAATCTAGTTTAACTTATAAAAAAAAAGTTGAAATTGCTTAAATTATTTTTATGAGTTAAAGTAACTTAAAAACATAAGTTGTCATGGCTTTTTCATCATATCATTTTTTACAGTGCATTCATTTCCTATGTTCGGTCATTTTTGACCGAAGACCATGAGTATGAATATTTTTTTTACTTAGCTTTTTCGAATCATGCCCTCAATTTTTTTGTGTGTTCATACCAAGTGCCATAAAAGTCACCAAGTTTCGTACCATTCCGATGAAGCTACGATTTTTTAATATTCAAAATGTAAAATTCTTCGGTCAAAAGTGACCGAAGACCGCACAATAGTCAGCTCTTTGATTCTTGTTTCTCCTCCTCAGGCAGTGTTTGAATACACAACACAATGTACCGTCAATTAGATGATGTGATGGAGCTCTGCTCTAAGCTATCGAAGACAGAGCAGATTAAAGTGACTGTCGATAACTCAAGACAAGGAGTTGCTGTTGCTGGTGGAGGGGCTTTTTTAGGGGCGATACTCGGAGGTCCACCTGGTATATTCATTGGTATGTACGCTTATGTGTTTGATTACTTGTCACTTACAAACTTTGACCCACTTCACTTCTTAACCACATAGTGGCGCTGTAATATCATATATAAACAATTGTATGGTTTGTTCTGTGAAGTCAGTAGCCTATGTTGACTTTTTTTTTGTAGTAAGATCTGAGCAAACACTCTTAAAGATAAAGGTTCTTTATGTTTCCATGAAAATGGAAGTTTTTGGAACCTTCGTTTTTGAAGTGATGTTTAAATATTACTACATTTCGATTGTACTATGTAGACAATTTGTGAAATTCATCAGTAAAGTCAGTGTGTAGACAACTTAATATGATCAACTTTAAATTTCAAGTGAAGAAAACAACTTTATTTTATTACTTATATTGATTAATAATTGTGGATGGTATATTTAGTGAACCCATTGCATCTTTAGCAGTTTGTTTCTTTGTCCTTCTGGATCTCCTATTATCAAATGCAGGTGCTGTTGTGGGAGGTGCCGTGGGATGGTGGATGGCTAGAGGCAAATTCCGTCCTCTTCATCAGATCATAATGGAGATGTCTCCTGAGCAGCAGAGGAAACTGTGCTCTGAGGTCATTGTGTTTGATTACTTGTCACTTACAAACTTTGACCCACTTCACTTCTTAACCACATAGTGGCGCTGTAATATCATATATAAACAATTGTATGGTTTGTTCTGTGAAGTCAGTAGCCTATGTTGACTTTTTTTTTGTAGTAAGATCTGAGCAAACACTCTTAAAGATAAAGGTTCTTTATGTTTCCATGAAAATGGAAGTTTTTGGAACCTTCGTTTTTGAAGTGATGTTTAAATATTACTACATTTCGATTGTACTATGTAGACAATTTGTGAAATTCATCAGTAAAGTCAGTGTGTAGACAACTTAATATGATCAACTTTAAATTTCAAGTGAAGAAAACAACTTTATTTTATTACTTATATTGATTAATAATTGTGGATGGTATATTTAGTGAACCCATTGCATCTTTAGCAGTTTGTTTCTTTGTCCTTCTGGATCTCCTATTATCAAATGCAGGTGCTGTTGTGGGAGGTGCCGTGGGATGGTGGATGGCTAGAGGCAAATTCCGTCCTCTTCATCAGATCATAATGGAGATGTCTCCTGAGCAGCAGAGGAAACTGTGCTCTGAGGTCATGGAAGAACTGGGCAATCTAGCATGGGATAACGTGGCTGGACTCATTTTGTCAGTGATGCGTGAATCCTCTCTAAAAATGAAAATACTTAGTATTATAATCTCTTTTGCCACAAAACAGCTCAAAGTCAAAATAGCATCTTAATTTCACCTGCTTAGTCTAAACCAAGTTTGACTATCTGAGGAGCTTTTTAGTTTAGGTTTTGTTATTGTTTCTGAAAGATGTGTTTTACTTTAATTTTTCTGAATTTTAAACATGTTTAGCAGCCCTTCAGTGTCAAACAAAGGAGGCAGAGAATTTTGACGGGTGCCTTCGATTTATTTACTCCGATGCAATAAACTTCATTGCTGAAGTATTCGTTGTCTCATTTTTTTGTTGCATCACAACACTGTGTTCACCCAGTGATTGACTTCATAACAATAACATCACATCATCATGGCACTGGAACTACAAAGAAAACAAATAAAGAAACAAACATGAACAAAAGAAAAATAAACTCAACCAACATTCACAATAAACAAACCCCTCTGAGTTGCTGTTATCAGAAGCCTGCGTGTTGCCAGATGTTGAGGGGATTCTTGCCATCATGGACTGCAACGTTAATTGCCTTAAAAGCAGGGCACCCTCCTGCATTCTTAACACACTCTCAGGTGTGCACAGGCACATTTAGATAGTCTGTAATTAGGCTAATGGGGCTAAAGGCACACTTTAAGAGTGCTTTTCACTGTGCCATTTACATTTATTAAGCAACATATTTTGTGTGAAAATAAATCGTACAAGTCGTGTATTTTGTTTTAAAATTGTATAAATGAATGAGGTGGAAAGGGGGGCCTTTTACCACAAACACGGGTAAAAGGCACACAGTATTGTTACAAATACTTCAGCTAAAATAATGTTATTTTTTTTTTATAATATCTAATACTTGTTCAAAACAATCACTTTAGCAAAGTTTGTATTATTTTATGATTATTTTGAAAAATAAAATAACTTTTGTTAAATATAGGCTACTGTCATTAAAAATGTTAACATAAAATATATATTTTAAAATACAGAAACAAAATCATTTTGCATAATAAAATTTTTAAAAAGTAAAGATTCTGAAAGCATTGAAGGAGATCCCATAATAATTTAATGTACATTTACAGTAGTAACAACACATTCTATTTTATTAGGCTATATGATATGATTAATATCATGTTTTTAAATATGATGTTTCATTCTAATCATGGTGATTATCTCTAATATGGACACCCAAAATAATATATGATATTTACAATCTGAATCTAACCATGTCATGTCAACTAATGGAAAAGTCAGCCATCTATTAATTATCATGTTAATTAATGTGCCTTTAGCCCCAACAGCAGGGGCGCTTTTTACCCCAGATGCCATACTTTTACATATTCTTTCGTTATTTAAAAACTGTTGCTTTAATTATCTTAAACAAAACTGAACATAATAACAGAGCAGGTCATATGTTTTTTTTTAAAGTGTTCCAATATTGTGTTGGAGTCCGCTACAACAGGTTTAAATGCATCTAAGGTCAGAAAACATCTTTTTCAAAGAATATACATTTATACTGAGTCGTTTGTCCATGATTGCGAAACGGTTCGTTCAAGCAGTTCTGAGCGAAATGTCTGTAAAGCCCTCCCTTCCATAAGCCTACTCTGCTCTGATTGGTCAGCTGGCCAAGCCTATTGCGATTTGGCACAGAGAGGAGTACTTGAGCAAGTTAGCGAGTGCTACCATCTGTGTTGCCAAGTCCGCCGTTGTTTTTGATGTTGTGGGTTGAAGTGACCCCAATAACATCATATTTAACACAGTAAAGCACAACAAAAGGTTCTAATTGTATTGCTGTGGTGTAGTTGAACACAACGTCTTCACGACAATGTTAACACACTAACTAGCGGAAGTGTTTGTGGGCACACTGTAAAAAAACGTTAGTTAAATTTGCGGTAAAATTCCGGCAGCTGTGGTTGCCAGAAATTTACCGTGAAAAATACGGTAGCAACATTTTAGGTTTTACAGAACTGTTTAAATTTACAGTGAAAAAACATTTCATTAACTGATACAATGTTAATATGCAAACCTTTGAGTTAACTCATTTTATTTGCAGAAACCGACTGCACTTAAATTGGCCAATTGGCATTTGTTTCTAAAATAAAAGTTTAAGTAATGTGAGCATATTGATATTGAGAACGATTTTGCTTAAGTCCATGAAGAAAAATCTACTGATTTATGCAAAGTCATTAAAAGCATCAATTCAACTCAAATCTTTTGCAGATAACAGCAGCACACATTCATGTGTGATTGAAATTATCGAAGAGACTCACTCTGCATCAGTAACTACACAGTTACTGCCTTTAAATAAAGCAACAGGCAGCATAGCATCAATGATTCACTGTCCGTCCTTAACTTAAACACAGGCTTTACTCTCCAGCACAATGGTAACCCACAAAACACAACAGGAAGTTGACTTTTTTTTCTTGATTTTACAGTGAAATACTGGCAGCTGTGGTTGCCAGTAATCTACTGTTATTTTACAGTTTGCATTCGTAAATTAAATTAACAGTATAATTCTGTTAAAAATACATTTCATTTAATTTTTTCGTCTCACACATTTAACCCCTTTATTTCCACAGCAAAATCCTCAGTTTAAAAGAGCACTTATATGTGTCCACACTACAGAAGCCTTGTCCAAATACCCACACTTGCGGTCTTGGCCACTTGAGAGCGCGTCCGCGCGACAGGAAGTAAGTGAGCAAAACTGTCCCAGGTCTTAAAAACGGCAAAGCGCAGTGCCCTTAATGCACTCTATCTCGATTACCACTCTGGAGCGCTATTCGAGGTTTAGTGTATCCCATCATGCATCATGTTATGGAAATAAATCGTGAGACTTTTTGCAGAGATCTCGCGAGAGGTCACGGAAACCTTTCCAATGCAAGTTAAATATTAATATAATAATTAGATATTACATATAATTTGGTAGAAAAACACGTTTTATTGGTGCAAAGATGAGTAGTGGTGATATTTATTTTGTACAACATTTGCAACTGCTTTTTATCACTTAATTAGAAGCACCACAAATTAAAATTGTCATGTTATAGGGACTACTGAACATACGTTTCGAAGTTGATTTTAAAATGCAAAGTATTTCAAATTAAAATTTAAATAAAGCTATGAAAACACTTGCATTTTTACAACACTATAAGTGTGTCCCATCAGGTAATGAAAAGTTCGACACACACTTGTGGTCTTCATGCTCACTTGAACACTTGGGCCAAATACAGGAAATACGTCATATAAGCAGTCAAGTGGTCAAGTGCAAAGACCACAAGTGTGGGTATTTGGACAAGGCTAGAGTGTTGAAGTAACATTGAAGCAGTGATGAAGTTAATGAGGTAATTAAGTGACTAATTAAATGAGGATTAAGCATTAGTGAAGAACACGTGTTAACAAGCAGAATCACTGAAGGAAAGAGAAACGAGCAGAGAAACACAACTTACAGCCAAAGCCAAAGATGAAATCTACTGAAAATAAAACATTACATTTATCAAGATCTCAGCAGAGGAGGATTAAACAACTCCACAAACAGCATCACCGGCTTTACTGATTACTAACCAGTGTGACTTTATTTCTGTCATATGTGTACAAAAGCTCTTATTGAGATTTTAGGTGTTGTGCTTTCATTTGAAGTCACCATAATGGTGATCGGTGTTTGCTTTAGTTGGGCTCTTGAACCTTGACTTTTTAAAAATAGTTTTTCTTTGATTGGTTTAGTTAGCTGTCTTTATTTAACACAGTTGTTATAGCAAAAACAAACAAAATTATCTATGATTAGATAAAACTGGTGGTTGTGATGTCAAAACCAACATGAACTAGATTCACTGATCTCACCTAATGTTTAATCTCTTATTAAGTGTGTGTGAAATATTACTAATACTCGAATTGTACCACTGATACTACTGCAATCAATCATTGTGAAACATTCCTAAGCATAATGTGCACAAATAAAAGTTTTGAACTATGGCAGAACTCAAACACATACAGACATCAACATTCAGCCTACGAATCTCAACATTGGTGATAATAAAATACGCTGGGAGTTTTGTCACCCTACATGCATTGCGGCATGATTTAATTTTTATTTTTTTATCAATAGCCACCATTGTTGAGATTCATGTGCTGATTCTTGATATCTGTGTATCTAAAAGGTACTGTAGCTCTAAAGGTTTAGTGCATACATTTTTTTAAAATTCTTTCACAATAGTTTGTCAACTTATCTTGTAGAGTCATATTAGTCATGAAACGATCATTATATCATCACTAATAATTATTAAAACCACTTCATTGCAATTTCTCTCAGCTTTTCTTGTCATAACAAGTGTGTTTTACAAACACAGTTACAACAGCAGAAAAAAACTAACAATAAAGAGTCAAGGGTCAAGAGCCCAACTAAAGCAACCACTGATCGCCAAAATGGTGAGGTCAAACAAAACATTTTAAATACAATATACACCTCTGTTAATTCTCACGTTTCTTTTGTAGCTATATGACAGAAATAAAGTCAAACTGGTTAGTAATGAGTGAAGCTGGTAATGCTGTTTGTGGAGTTGTTTAATCATCATCTGCTGTTTTATTTCACTTGATTTCATTTAAGGCTGTGGCTGAAGTCAGTTGTAGTTTAATTTCTTGCTCTTTTCTTCAGTAATTCTGCTCGTTAACAGCAGCTGTTCATCATTGGCTGAATTCACTCATTAGTTTACATTCTCTCTGTCAGGTGGACTCTATTAGTAAACTCATGTAGGGAATAGTGAATGAGGGTGTAGGGTGTGATTTCAGACACAGTCTACAGGCTACTTTCTGGAAAACAAAGGTCATCTATTACAGTTATTCACCATATATAGTAAGGAAACTTATCGTTAATCATTTAACAGGTTTTTACTGTGGCATTTTTACATTACAAACATTTTTTTACAGTGGCATTTTTACATTACCAATTTTTTTTTAAACAGGTCTAATAATTTATATAATGAATTATCGATCTATAATTCAAATTATTAACACTGCAGTCATCAATGAAAGAGCATCTTTATTTCATCCACCGATTTTCAAAAACAACCTGTTTAACGCGAAATACGTTTCTTATGTTTAAAATTCTTTCACAATAGTTTGTCAACTTATCTTGTAGAGTCATATTAGTCATGAAATGATCATTATATCATCACTAATAATTATTAAAACCACTTCATTGCAATTTCTCTCAGCTTTTCTTGTCATAACAAGTGTGTTTTACAAACACAGTTACAACAGCAGAAAAAAACTAACAATAAAGAGTCAAGGGTCAAGAGCCCAACTAAAGCAACCACTGATCGCCAAAATGGTGAGGTCAAACAAAACATTTTAA